ATATTTAAGAATTTTGGTATTACTTTGGTAACATCTAAGAGTAATAATTTAAGAGATTTATTAGGTAACCCTAAAGATAAGGTAGATGAAGGGGGGAAATCAGGCATTTATAAAATACAATGTGAAAGTTGTAATAAATGTTACGTAGGACAAACAAAAAGAAATATAGGGGTCAGGTTTAAAGAGCACTTAAGAAATATTAAAAATCAAGAAATTGAGAAATCTCCAGTGGCTGAACATTTATTGACACATAATCACTCTATTAAAACCATAAAACTAATTAAAAACGTAAATAATTACAAAGAACTTAATATCAGAGAAGCAATAGAAATGTTTAAAAATAAAAACAATTTAATTAATTGGGATCTTGGCCCACTGAAAAATTCATTATTAAACTTGTGTAAACTGGCAAAATGTGATAATATTACTTAGTGATAACGTCACTAGGTGATAAGGTCACTAGGGGTATATAAGGGAGTTTTTTCTAGTCGGGGTGTCAGTATGTGTTTAGCGTTGATAATGGTAACATTGTTTCCGAAATACGTATCCGCGACTTTTCATTAATTTTTTTGTGGCTTTTGAGTTTAATATTTTTAATATTTTTTAGTTTTTTTAAATTAATAATATTTTTAATATAGTTTTAATTTTACTTAAATATTTTCTTATTACTTGTCAAAAAGGGAAATACCGATCAAAATTAATGGGATAATAGCACTCACTTCTGGAATGACTGGTGTTACCCATTCTAACTTTTTTTTTTTTATTTATGACCCATAGGTCATTAAAGCCTTTTGCAGCTTCTACTAATCCCCTCCACCTATCACGGTTAATAGCAAACTCGAAGCTTGCTGCTCCGTTCACCCCTCTTGTATCTGCACTGACTCTATCCCACCATCGTTGCCGAGGTCTTCCCCCTGGGGCGCTTGCCAATTGAGTTATTAAATAGTACATTTTGATTATCAACTATCAATTGAAATCAACGAAAAACATGTGGAGTTCATTATTGTATTTATAGTATATTTCCATGATTTGTCAAATATTAAATATATGGTTTGCAGTTGATTTTCCTCTTATAAATCCGCTTTGGTATTTTCCTATATCAGCTGCATATTTATCTAGTCTACTTAGGATAGTCAGAGGCAGAAACTTATAACTTGTGTCCAAGAGAGAAATCAATCAGAAGTTTTCGACTTTCGCAGGGTCTCCCTTCTTGAAGATCGTACAGATAACTGCCTACTCCGGTCTGCCATCATTTTTTCTTTAGTCCATACATTATAAATTAGTTTGTGTATTTTAATTGTTAATTGTTTGTCCGCCTGTTTTATTAACTCCCAATTTATATTGTTATATTCATTGATATAATCAAATGCTTCCTATTGGTATTTGTTCTCAGTAATTACCTTTGAAGACAACTTTTAGTTTGAACTATATTTCAGTGATTTTTTAAAAAATTATTTTGTTTCTATCCTTTTGCATGTATTTATGTATGACCGATATTACCTCAGAGTAGAAGTAATACCGGTCATTTAAATTAAAAAAAATATATATATATATATATACATAAGATTATTTTTTAAAAATTTGAGAATTTGACATAATGCAGTCAATATGTTTATGTATCCATTTGTTGTAATAGCATAACAATTCGAGTCTTAGAACCAGAGATATAACGATTTTTGCTAAGGTGATCGTACTTCCCCCAGTCTCTTCTTTTAACGTTCCGTCGCTAGTACGAAGACGTACGACACGAACTATCCCATCCGCTCCTGGAATGATTTGTTGTACTCTAACAGTGCGCCATTTTAAGGGGAGTAACTACGGGTCCTTGATGACAATTACGTCAATGACATTTATATTAGGCGAATAATGAAAGTTGATTAACTAGTTTTCACTTATTAACAAGAAGTCATTTATTTTCCGGCACATCATGTTTTGGGAGAGCAAATAAAAAATGTCCCGGCGTGAGGCAATCACTTTTGTCTGGGTCAGAAGAAATAGTAACTAAGGGGCACGAATTAAGAATAGCCCCCAGGCGGCATAAGACCGTACAAAATTCCTCCAAGGTTAAAACTTGATTTGCGATCATCATTATCATTATATATATTGCAAAGCGAACCGCAGTTTCTCATAGGCCCTTAAAATGAGGTGCATTTGGTGGTTTAAAGTGTCAATTACATTGAAGGCAAAAAATTCTCCAGGTATACTGCTTTTACCGTAAAACAAATAAAAACTTCGTAATCCCCACGCTTTTCTTTATCTATATTCCTTCATAACCATGAGTTTCGCGAAATCTACACCAATTCGGAAAAAACATGACATCTGTATATCCGTAATGTTGAATAAATCGGCTATCACCGACTGTGGATTTATTCCTGTCAACTTAACACAAATAACACATTTACTTATTAGTGACCAAATAAGCGTATTGACCGACAAGATCCAATATCGTTTACAGATTAATGATGTTACTATGCGTGGACCGACGTGGCCATTGAGTTCATACCAGTGACAAATAATTTAGAAAAGTGTGATGTCTTAGCTAATAATATTTAATAATTTTGGCTTGAAAGAAATTCAGCATTAAATAAATAGCCACCGACACATATTAAACCGCAATTGTCGATAAACGGACATTAACATCTCATGTTAACTTTATTATTAATAAAAGTTAAAAAATGCTTGGTCTTTTAAATAGTACAATTTAAAAATAAAAATTGCATAAAATCTTTATTTTGTTTTTTGGTCACATAACTACACAAACCATATTTCGAAATTTGAGAATGTTCAATATAAATTTTTTAAAATACTAGCTTTTAAGATGAAACTACCCATTTCTAGTGATCTTTTACATTAGTAGCCGACTTATTGATTACATGTGAAATCAGGAGTAAATTAAAAGACATTATGATCATTTACGACATTATAGAATTGATTGTTTTAAAAATATTATTTAGTCAACCCTTATATCTATTTTCAATTTTTAATTTTTTTAGCTTCGATGCGAAGCAGAGAAGGTATTAATTTTACTATGATGTGTTTTTTTTTTTTTTTATGTCTGTTGCCACTTTTTCTCAGCTCTCACTGGATCGATTTCTTTCAAAAATACGTCAAAAGATCACAAATCGTATCTAGTTGAAGACATTACCCTTAAAAATTGAAAAAAATTCCCTCGTTCCCCGCAAATGGGGGAAATATCCAAAAAAATTACAAATTTAAAAATCGCTAATTTTCGAAATTTTTTCACTTTTTTTTCTTAAAACTTCCATAACTTTTTGAAAAATCAACAAATCAACATAATTTTTTTTTATACTAAAACCTTAGATATTTACCTTTCATTTGATATCATTTTTTTGAAAATCTATCACTTAACCTGCTCATTGGGGGGGATTTAAAATGGCAACTTTTTTACAAAAATTAATTTTTTCAACTTAATTTTTGAAAATGTTCCGGAAAGACTGCGTACTTTAAACATATATCAAATTAAAGCTTATTTTATGTACTACAAAATAAAAAAAAAAAATTTGTCCCGACACATTTTTTTCTACATTTAAACGGCTGCCGTAGTTAAAAAAACACTATTTTTGTGTTAAAATTTTCGATTTTCGATTTTTAATTTTCAACTTAAAAATGCTATAACTTTTTTAAAAATGTATATATAAGCACAAATTTTTTTTTTCTAAATACATTATAAGTACATCTTTCATTTGACATACTTTTTATTAAAATTGGACAATTTCCCCTTATATAGGGGGCGTTCAAAACTTAAAATATTGTAAAAAACATAGATCTTTTTCAACTGAACTTTTGAAAATGTTCCGGAAATACTGCGTCCTTTAAACATATATCAAATCAAAGGTTATATTATATAGTATCAAATGAAAAAAAAAAATTTGTCCCGACATCTTATCTTCTATGTGCAAATGGCTGTCGAAAATTTAAAAAAAAATGTAATGTTTGCGATAAAAATTACATTTTATCGGGATGTTTTTTGTACTTAAAACTGCCATAACTTTTTCAAAAATGAACAAATAAAAATAATATTTTTTTGTATTGAAACCTTAGATATTTCCCTTTCATTTGATATAATTTTTTTTGAAAATCTAACACTTATTCTGCTCACTGGGAGGATTTAAAATAGTAACTTTTTTACAAAAAATAACTTTTTCAACTTAATTTTTGAAAATGTTCCGGAAATACTGCGTCCTTTAAACATATATAAAATTAAAGCTTATTTTATGTACTACAAAATGAAAAAAAAAAATTTGTCCCGACGATCTATCTTCTATACGCAAATGGCTACCATATTGAAAAATATACTATTTTTGTATGATAATTATGGGTTTTGTATTTTATTTTAATAGAAGTTGATGTTGCTTTTGCAATTATCCATCAATTTTTTAAAATTAAACACTATCTACAGATTTGCATCGAAGCGTTTCTTATGATAGTGATTTTAATCACTGTCAGATTAAATCTATACTGGACCCTACTATGCAACGTCTCCACTATGCCGCGACCCCACTGTGCTACCGTTTTTTAGTTACTTATTTCTCTTTTTGTTTGTACAGATTATTTATTGTGGATTATTTTTAATGAATATTATTGGCCAATAGTTATATTATTTAAAGATTTGTATTTCTTTTTGTAATGTTAATTGTTGTCCTGAATAATGTTAATAAAAAGGGCGAATTGAACCTTTATGCTATATAAATGAATAAATAAAAAATACTTTTTATCGAGTAATACTTTTAAACAATTGTTATTAAGACAACTCCAACTTGTATAAAATTTTCATTTATTACTGTAAGTCAGTAGGATTTGAATATTTAGTACTAGTAATACTAGTAGATCACTAGCCTAAGTTGATACAATTTCATATTTATCATAAATTACAGGAAGCTACCTTTCCCTGCCTATTTATCTATTTGAAGCTTTTAAAATATTTCCAATAAAAAAAAAATGTTAATAATGATTATAATTAAAAAAAAAACATGTTATACTTGAAATAATACTACTCTATAATTGTGGAAATGACAGTGGGTACATGATCGAGTTCTTCATTATCACCATAAGAATGTTTTAAAGATGCAGATGAATTTAGTTGTTTATCTTTATTGGCTGTACTCCAGACGCCATCACCAGAGAAGTGATGATTTATTTCAAGACTATACAGTATAAGAGGTAACAGGAACTCAGATTTAATCAATCCTCTTGAGTCTCTAAGATAGTATATATCCTTCATGTTTTCTACATCTTGTAACGCCTTGGAAATTTTTTCCCTAAAATTAAAATATTTTCCATTAGAAATAATTTAATATGGTTTGTCAATAATGTATATTTAAATCAATATTGTCCCAATTTCAGTGGTATTATAACGCGATATTGAAGAAATAATTTGTTTTTGATATTATATGTAAAAAAATATAGATATTGGAAATAAAATAAATGTTTAATTTTAATCATTAACCTTAGAAAAAGAGTGCTATTGAGGAGAATATAATACAATATAGCATACTAAAATCTCCTTTTATTTGTTATAATATAAACATGGTTGTAGGTTATATCATAGGATGATGTTCTGTGGGTTGATAATAATATTAAAAAAGAAGAAATATACTAGACTTAAACATAGATAATATTAATACATTGATAATCATCTATATACGATACATTTTTATTATTTTATTAAAATAAGATATAATTTTTTAAATTATATCTTTTTATCATAGCAAATAACTTATAGCACCACTAAAATATAATACTTGAAATTTTTAAATTTAATTATTTTATATACAGACATAATACATTATGTCAATGATTTTATAGCTTCTGAAATGTTGAAAATTTTTATGACTTTTTGAAAATTGTATACAATTTTAAGGTTTCTTTAGTTTCCAAATACAATTAAAATATTGGGAATTTTTTATAATAGATTATAAAAAATCTCTTTAAAAAAACAAATATTTTTAAAAGAAATTAAAAACTTACAGTAGAACCTTTTTGTTTGTAGGTAAAATTCAGTTATTAGAGCAAATAAAATCATTGAATATGAGTTAGAAGTATACATAGTCATACATATTAATAGTTTAATTAAAAATAAATATATTATTTAGTCCTGAAATTTTTTTTAAATCACAATAGTTATAAAAAACAATTTTACATGTTTTGACCCCTCTGATCATTTTTTCTATTACGGTATTAAAATAACACTTTGAAGTTTGCAAAAATATAAAATACAATATTATAAATTTTTTATTTAACTTATTAGTTTTCTGAAACAAATTTATTAATTATCCCTCTAAAAATATATGAACTTATGTATCCTTAGAATCTTCCAAAAATTTTGCAAATTCTAGAAGTTGTAAGCTTTAATAATAAATTAGGCTTGATAATAACAATTAATTTATGGATTTTAATACAATATAATTTTTGTAAAGGATGAATTATTGTGTTATTCAAACGTCCAATAAATTATCAAACAATTATTGTTATTGTTATTGTTCTAATATGTCGTAATATACTCGTCGCTACCATAAAATGGGATGTTTGTACATTATATTCTTAGAAGGACATGACCCTTTTCTAACAAAAATTTAATAAAACTTTAAGAAAAATAGTCAACAAACTCATGCTGTTTAGTTATATTATAGTGTACACATTCGGTCATAAATCGTTTGGTGGTCACTTTTAAAATACTTCCTTCTGAAAAGAAATCTATAAATTATTTTTGTCATTTTTTTTATTCTAATTATAATAATTAAATACATTGTATCAACCCTAATCTTAAGTGTTAAAAAGAATATGTTGATACTATTATAAAATGTCAAAATGGTTTGTATATTCTATTCATCTGAGGTAATCTCTGTATTTTATGCTTATTTATCAATAAATAATTATACTGTAAGAATTCGACGATGATGATTTTCGGGGGTAAAAATATTATAAAAAGGCAGAGCAAACTCTTATTCTCCTCTGTTCATTTCGTGCTCTAGATATTGTTACGTAGATATTGCGATCATCATTGTCGAAGTTCTTACTTGCTTAATTTGTGAACTAAAACTTAAATTTGTGTTACTTAATTTATCATTTATTAATATTATCACTGAAGTTATATAATAACTGAGAAAGAAAATTATCAGGTAAGATTTTTTAAATCCATAAGAATATTTATATTGTTATTTTATGATCCTCGAATCACACTCTGAAACAAAAGTAACTCTTATTCTCACTCTAACTCTAACTATCAACTTTAACTTCTTTCTTTCTTTTAATTTATAATTTTATATATTTTGGTTTACGACAAATCCCATACTATACATATTTATCTTACTAAAAATGTATTGTCAGAAGTGATAAAATTATAAATATATATATATTTTATGTAACCTATGTTTAACATAATGATAATTTTTTACAAACCAATTAATTGAAAATTTAATAATTTCAATGAAAAAAATCTGTACTCACTTTGGATATAACACCACTTGTATACTATGGCATATTTGCTTGTCAGTAAAATTGTGTCTTTTCAAAAATGTACAAGTTTGCCTGATAGACATAAGAGAAACATAATGCCAGTATGGGTGCCGAGCTAACATGTCACGTAAATTTTTTTTGCTTTCTTTAAGTTCTAAGGTCAGGTATACCATGATATCATTGGAATAAACCTTGTCATTACCATTATTGTTAAATCTAGATGTTGTAAATTTATTTATATACAACAAATGTTTGAAAAATTAAGATGTAATAAATTACTATCAAGTACTTGTCAAATTGCTCAGAATTAGATGTTAGCAAGTGCACACAAACACAATTCTTGTTTTGCAGATATTTCAGTCTTTGATTTACTTGTTTTTTGTAAAATATTAATCGTGCAACATGCAAGTTAGTCATAAATGGTACCAACTCTGGTGTTTCTCTTATGTAACAAAGCCGTTTATTCACAGTTTGAGGAGAAAGTGTATAAATTCTAGGGACTTTTGATGTAAACGATTCTGGAATACCAAAGTTCTAGAAAAAGGATTGTAAAAGTTTTTAAAATACAGATTTTTTTTTCTATATACTTTATCAACTTAATAAAATAAATAAATTGAGTACAAACCTTTAAATGTTTTTGAATGATTTTAATATTTTCATAATTACTGAGAGTTATAATTGGAAATTTTGATAAAATATTTTTTGTCTCCTTACCGCATAGTTCTTTACAGTTGTTTAAAATGTTCACTATATTATCTGGATCACTATGTAGTAAGTAAGGATTATTTCTGATCTATTTAATCCAAAAAATAAAATAAAATCTATTAATAATGAAGAAATATAAAATAAACTACTTATATAATTTCCAAAACTAGTTGTGTAAGAAAAAAAACTAGTACAGTTGAGAGCCAGCATAGTGAACTCTAGTATAGTTTGAAATTTGATAGTAATTAACATCACTAGTATTAAACACTTTGATATGAATACTTATAAATTAAGATTAGAGAAAAATATTGAATGATTTTAATGGAAATTTTACATATTTTGATTTTGGCCACCAATTACTGGCAGAAGAAATGTCTTTGGAATGTTTTTTATTTTTTTAAAGGCATTATTTGGTATATATTTAAAGAACACAGAATTTCCAGATCATTATCAAAAATTTATTTATACAATTACATAAAAAAGTGTTGCGTATAAACAATTTTTGTAATTAAGTTATGATGAGATTTCCATAAAATGCACATTTAAAAAAAGATAATAGTTTTTAAAGTTACTGATAAAATTTTTATTATGATTTATGAATTTTTAAAAACACTACAGTAAAATGAAAAAAATTGTCAAATTTTTATAATTTTTGCAATTTTATACTTAAATAATCAATTATTCATAGAAGATAACATAAGTCATAAGAATGTTTTTCTTTCTTTGATTTTAAATTATATTTAATTTTTTTTTTTTTTTTCATATAACTTATAAGAAAACAAGCTATTTTTAACATTGTCAAACACTTTAACTTTGACCATTTTAAAACTATTAAGTTTCTGGATTTTTCCTTTTTATCTTAAAGAAAATTATTGAATTTAAAAGAACACAAGGTTTTGGAACACTATCAAAAATTAAAAGAAAAACATGTTATCATGATGATTTAAACCCATTTCATCAATGATTGAATTTTGACAAAAAATTTGTCAAACCAAGTTAAAAAAAAAAACCCAGCACAGTGGGATCCCGGTGTAATATTATTTTGATACTTAGTTGAATTTAGACGTCTCGTTGGCGATTGCCAGTGACATATCGACGCCGCTGAGGCGTATAATGGTTTAATTTTGTTTGCATGGCCCTTGCCGTAAAAACCCATAAATGAGTTCATACAGCTGCACGTACGGATTAGCAATATACAACGTATTACTTATCATTGTTTGTTTACACAGATCGATTCTCGTACCGCGTTGTAAAGGACATCTTTCTTTTTAATTAAATAACGTATATTATCACATAAAATTTTTATTACCATGATTCATTATAACAGACCTAAGAGCCCTCTGGGATCTCATCAGCTTTTGACAATCCGTCGAAGAGCCACTTCTAATTTTCCACCTCAAGCGTTCAGACTTAAGTGCTCAGCTTCACTCTTTTACTTTGCGGCCTTTTTATTTGTCTTACTTTGTGACTTGGTGTCTTTATTCTTAACATAATTTAATAGTTTAAATTAACGTATNTTTATTCTTAACATAATTTAATAGTTTAACTTAATGTAAATTCATGCTTGAATAACTATCAATTATAATACTTGCTTATATAATAAACTGTTTTCCATTTATTTAACATCTAATAAATCTAATTCACCTTCATCTCCTCTCTACACCGTAAAACAAGATTCGCAGTCAAGATATATCAGGTAAGAGTAGTTTAACACACTAACTACAATTAATAGTAATAACTAATAAAAGACACTCTAAACTTTAATTTATTATCTTCTTCTTTCGCTTAAATATATCTTCGTTCTAACTTCCCACAAATAACGATCACTTCTATTAATTTATTTATATTATCTAACTTCACCATCACTCTCTCACTCTCTCCCCAAGCACTCTTTTTATTGGTTATTACACCGGCACAGTGGAGATGTGGCATAGTTGGATCAAGTATAATGATTTCTGACAGTGATTAAAATCACTATCACAAAAACGCTTTGATGCAAATCTGTATATAGTGTTTAATTTTAAAAAATTGATGGATTATTTCAAAAGCTACATGATCTCCTATTTCCTTATTTATATCTTAATTACAAGTTTTATGATTTATAATTGTAATATATGAATAAATAAATATTTAAATATATATTTATAATATATAAAGGGATATGGTGTTATTAAAAAAAAATATTGATTATCATCAATATGCTACCATTATTAAAGAAACAGTAACATATATGTTATAGAATCATATTTTCCCTTTAAACAGTCAGAGCTATATTTATGAGAAGAGCTTAAGGAATGTGTACCTTACTCTTCCGAAGTTCACGTGGCCATCAATTTTTTTCATCAAAATATTACTATTAGGAGGATTAAGTTAAAATAAAAAAGGTAGCACAGTGGGGTCGCGGCACAGTATGGATGTGGCATAGTCGGGACAAGTATAGATGATATCTGACAGTGATTAAAATCAATATCATAAGAAACGCTTTGATGCAAATCTGTAGAGTATTTAATTTTAAGAAATTGGTATATTATTTCAAAAACAACAATAACTCTTATTCCCTTAATTTTATCTCGATTAGTTATTTGATTTATAATTATTATATATGAATTATTAATAATTTTAGTAATTAAATTTAATAAGAAATTGATATTCAATAATTTAATATTTCTAATAAGTATATTTCTTTACTTTTAACACATATAAAAATTTTAAGAGCTTGACACAATACTTTTCAATAAAAAATATTTGTTACTTATAATAAAGTTATAAATTTTATACACTGGACTACAAGGAACTTTCATCAGAAACAAAAATGTACTTTTCTAAATCAACTTTTCTCAATGTTTTCAAATATGCAATTAAACTTTTTCTATCACCTATAAGTTTTAATATTATTACTTATTATTAAAAAATAAGTATTTACAAATAAAAAATAATAATTAAGAAAAAATAAAAATTGTTTTAAATTAATTCTGATTTTGATTATTAATTTGTTAAAAATAAGGAAAATGACATATTTAACCAATTTTTTTAATCCTTTAAAGTTGATTTTTGTGAAAGTTTATAATAAAAAGAAATTAATTTACTACCATAACTTTTAGCTCAATTGGCAAGTTTGAAATTGATATCATTAAATAGAAAATTTTATGAGAATTAAAATAATTGTATTGTTAAGATTAATATGCGTTCAGGAAATTTTTTAATTACTATTTATAGTAAATTTATCAGAGTAGCTCAATATTTTTATCGTAATAGATAACTTAAATAGAAGCAATAGTTATCATTTCCTAGTAACTCTTGGTGTTTAAAAAGATTCTACAATTGAAATATTCAGAAATTAATTAATTTTAATGATTTACTTTAACTAAAAGAATCAATCAAAACAAAGTTGTAAAAAAAATTTACTCAATTGAGCGTATTAAAAACTTTGATTATAATGGTTAAAATCCATTATTAATACAGGAGAAACTAACAATCATTTTTTTTTAGAAATGATTTATATAGCAACATGTTACCAAAAATTTTGGAATAGTATAGTCTAGTAGTAGCACACACAAATACAGTAAAAAAATTATTAAATTACAAAGTAAAATGATTTAATTTTGTAGTTGAAACCTATCATATCGAACTTGATTCGTCAATAAATACTTTGAAAACATTATAAATGAATGATTTTAATTGTTTGTATGGAGAACATGGGATAAGTAACTGTTTAATTGATAATTTAGTATCGTTGAAAAATGTAGGTCAAGTTAGAGCAGAGAAAATAAATTATCGTCACAAAAAAATATCTTCTCAGCTTTACATCGAAACTAAAACTTAAAATATAGTAAAATAATTTTAATATGAATAAGAAATTTCTTCTTGCATGGGGTGACTACAGTGATGGGATCCTTGATCTTTATTCAAGTTATTGAATTTTTATCTATCTATATATATAAATGATATAAAAATCAAAGGAGTTGAAAATTTATTCAAACTTAAAAAGAATTAAGAAAAAATGCAAAAAATTCTTTGCTACACTCGGGTTGGAACCTTATACCCCAGCACGTAAAACAAAAGTTTAACCGACTCGGCAAACATAAGTCGCTACCGTCAGCTGAAAAAAATGGCTATTTAAGCTAGTTCAAATTTCAATATTATTTTTCTCAACTTCAAAAAAGCAAAAAAATTTAAATAAGTTTAACCTTCTAAGCTATATCAATTTTATTTATATAATATTTATGAAAATCAGTGTACTCCCCTTGTCAGGCATTTTAAAATAAAACCCAGAATTTTTATACAAAAATAGTATATTTATGAATACAGTTGTCATTTTTACCATGAAGACAAATCCAAAGGTCAAATTTTTTTTTTCAAATTAAAGTACATTACACAAATTTTGAACGCCTCCTATATAAGAGGAAATTGTCTAATTTTAATAAAAATTATGTCAAATAAAATATGTACTTATAATGTATTTAGAAATTTGTTCTAATACATACATTTTTCGAAAAGTTATAGCATTTTTAAATTGAAAATTTAAAATCGAAAATTTTAACACAAAGATAGCGTTTCTTTAACTATGGCAGCCATTTGTATGCAGAAGATAAAATGTCGGGACAAATTATTTTTTTTCATTTTATAGTACATAAAATAAGCTTTAATTTGATATATATTTAAAGGACACAGTATTTCAGGAACATTTTCAAAAATTAAGTTGCAAAAGTTAATTTTTGTAAAAAAGTTGCTATTTTAAATCCTCCCCAGTGAGCAGGTTAAGTATTAGATTTTCAAAAACCCAGCACAAGGGGGTCGAGACACAGTGGTAACGTGGCATAGTTGGATCAAGTATAATGATATCTGACAGTGATTAAAATCACTATCAATAAAAACGCTTCAATGCAAATCTTTAGATAGTGTTTAATTTAAAAAAATTGATGGATTATTCCAAAAGCTACATGATTTGCTATTTCCTTATTAATATTCTGAATGAAAAAGGGATTATTAAAAAACATTATTTCTCATAAAAAAATTGTGTTGATCCATACACTTTTCAATAAATTATAGCATTATAAAGTTAAAAATATAAAATATAAAATCGAGAATTTTCACACAAAAATAGCATATGGTAACTATTTTAACCGTGAAAACAAAATAAAGTCTAAAATTTTTTTTTTCATAATTAAGTATATTATATAAGCTTTAATTTAAGCTATATATAAAATTGTCAGTATTTCTGGAACACTTTAAAAAGTTAAGTTGAAAAACTTAATTTTTTGTGAAAAAGTTGTCATTTAAAATCCTCTCATGTGGGCAGGTAAAGGGTTAAATTTATGAAAAAAATATACCAAATGATTGATACAAACAACAATCATCTATAAAAAAAAAAATTATATTGATATGTTCATTTTTAAAAAAGTTATGGAAGTTTTAAGAAAAAAAAGTGAAAAAAATGACAAAATTTACCGATTTTTAAATTTTAAATTTTTTTGGAGATTTCCCCCATTTGCGGGGAACAAGGGAAATTTTTTCATTTATTGAGGGTAATGTCTTTGACTAGATACGATTTGTGATCTTTTGACGTATTGTTGAAAGATATCAGTTCCGTGAGAGATGAGTATAAGTGGTAATAGACACAAAAAAAACGCATCATAGTTAAACCAATACCTTCTCAGCTTCGCATTGAAGCTAAAATATTTCCAGTAAAATTACCAAATATAAAATATGCAAATATAAGACAAAAATGAACTATAAAGGTATTATCAACTTTTTTATCTTACTTTTTCTATACTAAATTCAAGTTGATTTTGGAGAATTGCAATGACTTTTTCTGTTTGTCGAAAACTTTTATTGTTAAGACGGTTATATAAGTTAACCGCTCGTTTTACACTCTCAGAGTCTAATTTAAGTTTCCACTGAAGGTACAATTCGAATACATCATTTTGGACTTGTGACCAAGAGAGCAATTCATCACATTTCCCTACAGGATACTGACTGATAGGAAACTGAAGAAATGACAACATATGGTATCGAACATCAATGTTTTTTTGGATAAACTTATCAGTTTTCAATGATTTAATAGATTTCCTTATGATGTATTTAAATCTATAAATGAATATATAGTTAATAATTATTAATATTTTAGAATATAATATTTATAAAAATAAAAAGTTTTAAAGTGAATCTATTTCTAAATAATTTTATGATCTAGTTTTAATAAATTATCAAAAAATACTTGAAAAACAAACTCATAAAACATTTTTAACAGTTCCTAAAATTTGTTTAAATATTAAAACATATCACGTTAAAAATTGTATTAAAAACTAACATAATATCAACAAACATATGAAGTGTAATAAAAAAATAACGTCATGATATATGTTATTCAGATTCTAATTTACAGTTGCTTTATTTTATGTCTTTAACCAGAGTTAGATTACCACTCTGAAAATTTGAGTTTTCATGATTGATGGTTTTATGTTTTCAATTAAAATAGTGACACGGTACCGTGTTTTCCTCAGCCGCAAATCACGTTATCAACCTAAATGAAAGTGTATCGGGATCTGAATCATAAGTGCACGGTGGCCTAGTGGTAAAGTTGGTCTATACAACATCTTGGATCGCGGGTTCAAATCCTGTACCGTGTCTCTTTTTTTCACATGATTTCCCGTACACTTTTTATGACCGACCGTCAATCCCCGGCGGCCGTGTAAATAGCTTAACTCAAAATATTATAGGTTATAGGAATACTTTTGAGTACTCTGGGCTAAAAGTAGTCTTTTGTAAATTTTAGTTTAAGCCATTTGTCATTATAGGTCTCATTTATTAATGGAAGAATATACTTTTAAAAATTGTGTTTTCACTCTTATAAAAATCTATTTACAATTTTATTGAAGGTAAAATAAATTAAAAAACAAATATACCTTATTAAAACAAATGGGCAAATTTTTTTTTTATTAAAACCGCCTTCTTCCAACAACATAATATAATTCTTTATAGTATTCTTATGCATTGTTACCACTTTAGGGGTTTTGATGATTTCATCTTTAGTAAATCCAAAATCCTAAGAAATTAAAGTACATTTTGATTAAACTAACAGCACACGTTGGTTTTTGAGACATGAAATCATTAATTTCAATAAAATTGAGTCAGAAAAATTGTGTTTGTTAATGTTCTTTATGAAATTAATAAATTTATTACACTTTTTCTTTTTCCTCGCCTTAATCCCAACTACTTGAGGTTGGCCACCTCTATCCTAAACTTCTACTTGACACGATAAATTTATTACAATAATTTGTTTAAAAAATTTTAAATGTTATAAAATTGTTTTGTTTTATAATTATATATTTTTGTAATAATGTCTATGTACAGTTGCATTGAGATTATTCATTGATAGAAATATAGATGCTAAATGATCGTTTGAATATACAAATAAGTTTTGCAAAACTTACCAACATTAATGAAATTTTATTTGACAAAGTTACAGGGGTAGACTTCAAAATAGATGGATTCCTTTTAATGATTTTTCTTGATTTATCTACAGACAGACCTTTAAAAAAATTGAAAATTAATTTTCTTTAACCATACTACTTAATTAGACAGAATTCATGTAATATTGAACAATATAAGTGTATACTTTAATTTTGATGGAAATTTTATGGGGGAAACATTGGTAACAATATTATTTCCCATGTAAACATTGGTTATCAAGTGACGAAAAAATGAAGTTTGGTGTAAAGAATACCTTCTTATGGATAGCAAATTACATTTTTTTGATCTCTTGAAAAGTAATTATTTATGACTTGTCTCCTATTACATAATCTTTAAAGAGACTTAAATGAAGTATAAAATATAAAATTGTGATTAATAAAAAAAAGTATTACACTAACAGTATTTATTATGGTAATTATTATTATTTTATTTTATGCTCAACATAAATTTTATAGTTGTTTAGTACAAAAAAAAAACAAAAATCGAAATAAAATTTTTAGTGAAATATTACCTAATTTTTCTTGCAGTACGATTATTAATTCTTCGTTCATGTTCTTAATATCACAAAATTGAATTATTCGTGGCTTGAAAATTGCTCCAGTCATTCGAAACCTCAACAATTTCCAAAGCATGATGAAACCTAAGTAAAATATACCTCATCAAGGTGTCTAAAAAGCTCACGATTTTACGAAAACTGCTCTAGTTTCTTTTAAAACCAAATTCGGTTTCCATATTAATCTTTAAAGTTCATTAACCACGTAAACTTAAAACTACCCTCTTCCTTTATAATTAAAGTTTACATTGATATTAATATTACATATATAAAACAAAATAGATTATATTTTGTTTCTGTGATTCATACTTTTATATGTATATTTAAAATCACGGTTAATGATTTCTTCCATCTAGTGGTAGATAACTAGTTCTATCTAATTGAGTTATCATTGAGGTGATTTTTTGATAATTAAGTGAAAAGTGGCAAATGATATAATCATAGATAATATTATCTTTATTATAAAGATATAGATAATAAACTAGATTGTTAATATAGGTCTATATTGTCTGTTTACCAGTGATGCCGAATAGTTGCCATCTTCATTGAAGCAAGAATTTGTTTTCCTTTACTTTATGTACATTTATTAAAACAGTAAAAAATTGATTGATAACAAAAATGTTTGTATACGAAATATGGGGAAAAAAATTATATACCTAAAAAATGCATTAATTATAAAAAAAGGTAAAAGTTTTTAAGATTAGTGAAGAATTTTTTTCCTACTTATAATATACATAAATATCAGCTAAACTGCATAAAAAAAAATGTTAAGCTTACTTGAGACTTACTAGAAATATACTATAATATAATGACACTAATTATTATGTCTAAATTTGTCAATTTTCGACTTGAAATTTTGAAACTAAATAATTTGTATTATACAGTAAAAATCAAACTATTTTGATGTATTAATCTTAATATTTGACCTAAAATTGAATAATAGAGGTCGTTTTTTGTGGTATATTTTGTCAAAATAGTAAAAACTCGTTGAGCCACCAGTATAAATTTTTTTAAAAATCTCAAATTTTCACAAAATGCCTATTTTAATTTATATAATAAAGTTAAATGGTTCTTATTAAAATTTCGAAGATCGACTTTTTTTGATACACCCTAATAAGTATACACAATAATAATAAATAAGTTTATAGAAGGATAAATATTTAAAGAATACCCTAATATTTTTTTTATGGAAAGTTATAATTTTAGAAATAGCCTTAGCATTATAAGTCCTTGCATAAACAATGCAACTAGGCATACTTAAATCGGTGGTGTTTTCGAAAAAGATCTTTTTTTTTTTAAGGTATACATTAATTTAAAAAATGTTAATGATAATACGCCGTATACACCCTAATATATTATGATTTTATGATAAAAGCATAGAATAGATAAGATCTTGTCTATTCTGTGATAAAAGTCTATCTTTTTTCAAATATAGGCGTAAAATCCCTTGTTTATGTTAGTATGGACACGGTTATTTTATTATCTATGGATATATTAGACATAAAATATTACGTTGTGTGTAATGAAATATTGATTAATTTATAAATTTATTTTTAGCAAATTCATCAATTTATTAACATTTTAAATGTCAAAGGAAATATCAAAAGTTTTACGGCATAAAAGCCTCAACAAAGTTGTGTTACCAACATTTTTTAAAATTGGTCCAACATTTACTTTGTCAATTGTAACTTGTATGTCATTACTTGTTTTTGTACAGCCCCAACTTGATACTAATTACTACATAGATGAAGAATTTCATGCTCCTCAAGCACGCCATTATTGCTTAGGCAATTTTCATATAGTTTGTATATTTTTTATTTTATTTGTGTACTTAATTTTTTTTAATCTACCAATACATTTTTTCTTTACAGTGGGATAACAAAATTACCACTTTACCGGGCTTTTATTTATTATCTGCAGCCATAATAGTTCCATTCACATGGGTATATCATAATTTCTTTATATTATTAGGCTTTGTAGGAAAAAATGCCAATTTACAAGATGATCTATGTTCCTTAATAATATTAAGAATTATAAATTCTTTAAGTGCTCCTGCGTGTTTATATTTGACATATTACAGTTGTCTACAATTTTTATCAAAAGTTTGTTTTAGAAAAATATTGTAAGCTCAGAAAATAATAAGTATATTTTATTTCAGAGTGAAAAAAAAAGAAGTAGAAATTCTGAGTGGACACTAATGTTTCTTGCCTTAAGCGCAGCCACATTTCCTATTGTTTATGCTCCTTATTCTTTTCTTTACTATACAGATGTATGGGCTACAGTTTCAGTATTTCTATGGTATTCATGTTATTTAAATAAAAAATCAAGTTTATATCTCAAAATATTTTTGGGTATGTTTTCTGTCTTATGCCGTCAGACAAATATTGTCTGGATTGTATTAATTAGTATTAATGATATATGCCATTGTGCTGAAAAAATGTATGCTCCTATTAAAAAGAGTGATTCAACAATATCTTATATTCTAGTAAGTATTTTAAAATTATGATTTTGACTACTTTTGGATTTGAAATTTTATTGAAATATTTTTTGTAGGCATGTGTTATACAAATTGGCTATATTTCATTGAAAACCAAAAATGAACGAAAAAAATTAGTGTTATTTCTTAAAAATTGTTTTTATGTGACATTTCCAAATATTATAGTTGTTGTAATGTTTTCATTTTTTGTATTTTTTATCAATAATGGTGATATAGTTGTTGGTGACCGTAAATCACATAGACCAAGTATACATCCAATGCAATTATTTTATTTTGTAGGATTTTGTTTTATATTTTACATACCAAGAATGGTTTTTTATTTTTATGATTATTTAATGAAAAGTAGGAACATTTCTATACAAGTATTGATTTTATTTTTCAATGATAAATGCTATAAAATTTCATCTAAAATTTTCATAACTCTTGTTGGAATTTCTTCAATTTTAATATATTTAAATACCATGGCTCATCCGTTCTTGCTCTCTGATAATAGACATTACATTTTTTATGTTTGGAAATTATTTTATGGTCATAATAAACCTTTATTCCTAAGGTATTTGCCTGTGCCATTTTATGCATATGGGTTGTATGTGTTAGACTTAAAAATAAAAAAAGTATCATTTGCTTTTACGTTATCCTACTGGCTAACTACATCTGGTCTACTTTGTGCACAATATCTCTTAGAACCTCGGTACTTTGTTGTTCCATTCCTGTTTTATCGACTTCATACAGATGCTTATAATTCTAATACTTCGAAAATGGCATTTTTTGAATTTATCATATACCAATTTATAAACATTGTAATAATGTGGATATTTCTTTATCGTCCTTTTATTTCCACAATGGATAATTCAGGGCGTTTGGATCGATTTACATGGTAACTTTTTATATGTGATTATTTATTATGAAATTTTGTTAAATTAAGATAAAAAAAATGTATTTTTATTAAATTGTATTATAAATTTCAGGATTAAGAGCATTGTATTTTTTTAAATTAATAATATTTAGGTTTGGTTTTATTTAATGAATTTATAGAAACATTTAATTTTATAGAAAAAATTCCAAAAATTTTTTTTTATTTATAATTTTTTTCTGCAAGACCCATAGGTGTCTATTAGAGTAATATTTTGAGGATACTAAATGTATTTTCATCCTACCTTAAAAAAAATATATGTGTATAACAACATACGATTTTTTTTTAATTATTAGGAAGCTAAGCTCCTTGTTTTTATAGCAAGGTTTTCAAAAATGTTACAGTTCCCTGAATAATGACTTTGGTCACCTTCCTTAAACACTGGCTATGTTAAATGCATAGTAAAACTAAATAAATTTTATTTTTTAATTATTTTATTTTAAAATTTTAATTTTATTATTAAAATATTTAAAAAATTATTTTGCTCCCTCTATGATAAATTTTTGCGGACGCCCTTGCACGTTATTTTCTTATAATATAAATTAAATTTTTTTTTTAATTTTTAATGGATTGTTATTTGCTGTAATTTAGAAAATTTAAAGTTAGTATAACTTATGTAAGTAAGTTAATTTAATGTCAAATAAATAATAATTTATATTATGGACTTAAATAAAGAATTTGTTGAGTTTTTAGAACATTTTTTTCACAAATATAATTAAAAACACCATGACTATCATAGCCATAAGTGCAAATAGGAAATATTATTTTGAATTATTAACACATCATAACTCTTTCTGACATTCTTAATACGTGTGATTTTGTAAAATAAAAATATAGATAGTAATTGATCAACGTGTATTTTAAAGTCTTGTGATGAGTTCTATCGTAACCTGTACACTAAATAATTCGCAACTGAAATACGTGCAATGCATCCAATATATCACATAACATGTATTAATTTTTGACTTAATAACAAGAAGCAGTTTTTTCCACCTACAAAAAATGTTTATATTTTGATTTAGGTATTATTGTTGTTAATGAAACAATATTAATTAGAAACAACGGTTATCATCCATCCAGTCAACATTAAAAAAAAGAGCTGATTACACAATTTGTTCATATTCATCGTGTTTTTAGACGAAAACGGCTAGGGATGGGTAAAACATTTAATTTCAATTAATTATTTGATTTTATATCGATCACAAATTAAAATAAAATGTACCGAACACAACAAGGTCGGCGGAAACGATGAATGTGTGATCCGGTCTTGTTATAGAAATTCCGTAGAAGGGGGAAATTTAGTAAACTTTAGCGATAAACATGTTTTCGAAGTACAAAATGTTAAGAATGAAGTTGAAAATAGGAAAAATACATGTTAAATAAATAGCACCGTTTTTTTTCAAAATCTTCTCTTCGATGGAAAAGAAGACTGTGAAGTTAGCAATTCCTAATCAGTTACAAAAAGGATATAAACTAGTGATGCGTCGGTACAAAATAAGGAGTACATTGGTGGAACGAGTAGGACTGATTACACTTGGTCGTTACACTATCGTTTCGTCGGTACGAAATACAGTTGATTCCAAAATGATTACAGTAGTGACTAAAGAGTACTTGAGTAGTTCTTACTTGTTTTGGATTGTGTAACTACGACCTACAGTAACTGTCTATTTGGCCAACCGTTAACTTCTTACAGTGATGGAAAACTAGCGCAATCTCTTGGTTTTTTAATTACTTAAAAAACGTATATCACCAATTTTAAAACTGCTAATCGTATCCATTCATATATTTTAAATTAGTGATAGGTATATTCCGAATTATTAGTAATCGAAATAATCGATTGAGTATACTTGTCTATGGAGAGAATCTTGAAATTTTACTCGAAATTAGTATCGTTTATACGTTTAATAAAAATAATCGATTATTTTTAATGATTTTGAGTATTTTTCGATTACATTAAATACATTTATAACTTATAACCAAATTATTCAAATAGGTATAAGCAAAGAAATATGCATAAGATGTTATATTTAATTTTTAATCGTTTAATTATTATTTTCTTTAATTTTAATTAAGTACCTAATTTACTACTTAAATACAACTATTTATGCATTTAAAATAAAATATTAGTAATATTTTACAAATTTATATACAATATACCATCAAACCCAGCTTGTGTAAGTTTAATGAAGGTTTTTATAAGATATTGAAAAGAAAAAAAAGATTTGGTATTAGTTTCGTTTCATTAGTTTTTTATCAAAGATTTGTTGTTTTGATTTTTTCTATGAGCTGCTCCTTTGTGTCAACTATATTAAAAATACATTTTATAACTCTTATCGCTTTTATAATTTTCAATTCTGTCCTTCATTTTATTGTTTTTGTCCTATCTGTGTAGTGTGACGCTTAGGTACTCTCGTTCGTGTATTTTCAGTTTTCGATTAAAGTAATATACAAGTTTGCTATTTAATTATATTTTGTATATACAATGGATAAAAACCCAGAACAGGGGGGTCGCGGCACAGTTGGATCAAGTATAATGATATCTGACAGTGATTAAAATCACTATCAAAAAAAAACGCTTCGAAGTAAATCTTTAGATAGTGTTTAATTTTAAAAAATTGGTGGATTATTCCAAAAGCTTCATAAACTGCTAGTTCCTTATTAATATCCTGATTAAGACAAAGTATGTCGAATAAAAAAGAGATTATTAGAAAATAGTATTTCCCATAAAAAAATTATATTGATCAATACACTTTTCAATAAGTTATAGCATTATAATGTTAAAAATGTAAAAAATAAAATTGAGAATTTTCACACAATAATAGCATTTGGTAGCCATTTTCACCTTGAAGATAAAATAAAGTCCGAAATTTTTTTTTTCCATGATAAAGTATATTACATTAGCTTTAATTTAAGATATATATAAAAGTGTCAGACCTTCCGGAACATTTTCAAAATTTAAGTTAAAAAAATTAATTTTTTGTGAAAAAGTTGTCATTTTAAATCCCCCCTTGTGGGCAGATTAAGGGCTAAATTTATGAAAAAAATATACCAAACGAAAGGTAATGATATATTGCATCTATATAAATAAGAATTATATTGATATGTTTATTTTTGAAAAAGTTATGGCACTTTTAAGTAAAAAAAATTGAAAAAATTTCGAAAATTAGCGATTTTTAAATTTGTAATTTTTTTGGAGGTTTCCCCCTTTTACGGGGAACGAGGGAATTTTTTTCAATTTTTAAGGGTAATGTCTTCGACTAGATACGATTTGTGATCTTTT